GGGCAGAAACGGTGACTCCGCAGGGACCCGGGTGCATTTCACCAGGGGCACAACCCCAGCCGAGGAAGCCAGGAAATAAGAGGATGGGCCGCGCGCTGTTCCCCAGAGGCTGACCGGGCCCCTGGCCTCGCATTTCTCATCTCACTCGCTGAGCACTTAGCACGTGCTCGCTGAGGGCCGGCGACTAACCCACACCCTAGACACAGCCAGGGAACAGAAGCCTTGGCTCCACACTCGGTGCCTCTTCTGGAAGGACAGAAACAAAGCAATGGACAGAATTACAAGTAGGTAAGACATGGAAGCAAACAGGGCCCAGACGGAGCGTGGGGTCTGGGAAGGGGGTCATTAAGGCAGAGGACTGTGGGGGGCCTCTCTCAAGAGGTGGCTAAAGCTGAGACTGATACGCAGCCCTGTAAAGAGCAAGGGGCAGGCCCCCAGGCAGAGGCGGGGGGATGGCAAACACAAGGCTCTGGGACAAGTCAGAGCTCGACCTGCCCCAGAAACTACGGGCTGCTCGGAGCCCAGGGAGCAAGGGGAGAATAGACGAACCCTGTGGGCCACGAGGAATTTGGATAAAATCTTCAATCCCATGGTGCTTCATCCACATAAAAGATGAGGGAAAGACGACTCGGAGGAGTTAAGGGCTCACTCAAGGCGATTCCAACCAAGGAATCTTTCTAAGTCCAGTGTCCTTCCCCCGCCTCCTCCAGCTCCCGGAAAGCAGCGAGCAACTACTCCTGTACCACTGGATTCCGCGATGTTTCTGCCTTCTGGACACGCCGCCTGAGCTCCCTTCACCCCCTTTTTCTTGCAGTAAGATATAGGGAACCCAAACACGGTCTATGAACTTCAAACCATACCAAGTTCCCACACTTGATTCTACAAGGACACAGATTCTAAAACTACATGCTTCGCCCGGCCGGTGTGGCTCAGCGGTTGAGGGCCGACCTAGGATCCAGGAGACTGGGGTTCGATTCCCGGTCAGGGCACATGCCCGGGGTGCGGGCTAGGGAGCCGATCAATGNGGGCAGAAACGGTGACTCCGCAGGGACCCGGGTGCATTTCACCAGGGGCACAACCCCAGCCGAGGAAGCCAGGAAATAAGAGGATGGGCCGCGCGCTGTTCCCCAGAGGCTGACCGGGCCCCTGGCCTCGCATTTCTCATCTCACTCGCTGAGCACTTAGCACGTGCTCGCTGAGGGCCGGCGACTAACCCACACCCTAGACACAGCCAGGGAACAGAAGCCTTGGCTCCACACTCGGTGCCTCTTCTGGAAGGACAGAAACAAAGCAATGGACAGAATTACAAGTAGGTAAGACATGGAAGCAAACAGGGCCCAGACGGAGCGTGGGGTCTGGGAAGGGGGTCATTAAGGCAGAGGACTGTGGGGGGCCTCTCTCAAGAGGTGGCTAAAGCTGAGACTGATACGCAGCCCTGTAAAGAGCAAGGGGCAGGCCCCCAGGCAGAGGCGGGGGGATGGCAAACACAAGGCTCTGGGACAAGTCAGAGCTCGACCTGCCCCAGAAACTACGGGCTGCTCGGAGCCCAGGGAGCAAGGGGAGAATAGACGAACCCTGTGGGCCACGAGGAATTTGGATAAAATCTTCAATCCCATGGTGCTTCATCCACATAAAAGATGAGGGAAAGACGACTCGGAGGAGTTAAGGGCTCACTCAAGGCGATTCCAACCAAGGAATCTTTCTAAGTCCAGTGTCCTTCCCCCGCCTCCTCCAGCTCCCGGAAAGCAGCGAGCAACTACTCCTGTACCACTGGATTCCGCGATGTTTCTGCCTTCTGGACACGCCGCCTGAGCTCCCTTCACCCCCTTTTTCTTGCAGTAAGATATAGGGAACCCAAACACGGTCTATGAACTTCAAACCATACCAAGTTCCCACACTTGATTCTACAAGGACACAGATTCTAAAACTACATGCTTCGCCCGGCCGGTGTGGCTCAGCGGTTGAGGGCCGACCTAGGATCCAGGAGACTGGGGTTCGATTCCCGGTCAGGGCACATGCCCGGGGTGCGGGCTAGGGAGCCGATCAATGACTCTCTCATCACTGATGTTTCTATCTCTCTCTCCCCTTCTCCTTTCCTCTCTCTGAAATCAATAAAGATATGTTTAAAAAAAAATAAAACTACATGCTTTTCAAACCCTGTCAAACACACTCCAACGGTACACCGAGTGGGTGAGTCAGCTCTAGCCACACACACACACAAGGAACTTCAACTGCAGCCCATCATTTTCCGAATAAATCCCGAACTCCAAAACGTAGCATTTTTCTAAAATCATGGAAGTGAAAAGATGGCCACAGTTTCCAAATAAAATAGAGATGCACGTCTAACAAGGAATTCTCCCGTTATTTCTAAAACGTGGGACTAGGGAAGACCCAGTCTCTGCGGCATGGAGGGGAATCTGCTTTGCAGTATTTGTTCTTCGCTTTTGGGGCACTGCCCTCCAGAAGGCGCAGGGAAGAGTGAAAAAAATACTCAAGCATCCCTGGCTCCTTCCTTTCCTTAATGAAACCAAGGTTTTAGTCTCGATTCTGGAGAAAACCCTACCTAACTGAGAAAGTTTTCTTTCATTCCTAATGTACTCAAGTTTTTCGTTGGGCATGACTGTTAATGTCTACGCTATTTATTCTTTGGGTGACGATAAATTAAGCCTCACTCTGGCTGTCTCTCCAGGCTACACTGAGAAATGTTCTTATACATCTCCCACTCGGATGTGGTCTATGTGTTTGGAAAGATGGAGAGATGACATGGTCCTAGAGCCACCTGCAGCTATGATAATACAGCTGGGTTTTCATGTACCCGGAAAAGCGTAAACTTCCTTTTCGCAGTGATCTTTTCACTTTCCTGCTATGTAACTGTTCTACATTTCTCTGTGCCCAGGAGAGCTACCATCCGGCATCGATAAGCGCATCTGTAAAAAGTACACAGAGAGTCCAATAATCTGAGTGCTCACGTTGGCTCTGCCGCTTATTGGCTACGTGATCATAGGCTAGTTTTCTAACTTCTCTGAATGTCAGTTTTCCCTCCTGCAAAACAGGGATACTGATGCTCCAGCGTCCAACACGGTGCCTGGCACACAAAATCTCAATGAACTGTGTTAAGTGAACAGGATGAACATATCCAAGTGACATTAAATTAAACTGCTCGCAACAGAACTGATGCCGAGATGGCAGGCAGGCATTCAGAAGCCTGTCTGCACCGATACAGGGCTGCCGCTGTAACAAAGAGCTGCTGCAGACGACTTACAAAGTGTGCAGTCAGAGCAAACCGCATACAAGGTATCGCCGGTATGGCCCCTCTCCACAGGCAGGTTTAGAAAAACATACCTCACGCACTCAAGGGGCTCCACAGCACTACCCTCCGCTAATGGGGGGGATGATGGCAACTTCGTCCCCCGACTGAAGCAGGAGGAGCTGATCTCCAAGCTCGACATATTCCTGACGAACAGCCAGTATCACCTGGTTTCTGACATCAGCCAACCTGCAGGGAAACAAGGACAGTAAGAGGGGTCAGCGCTGTTAACCTCCAAGGGCCGCAGCTGCAGTGAAACACTGCGTGGATGTCACTTTGTAGCAGCGCCGGCTGTTACGAATTAAAGTAGCTTATACTCTGCGGAGAAAGGACACATCCCCTGAACCTGCTTATTCAACACCAAGAACACGGCAGACCATCGATAACTCTTTATTGGATGCTGCGTGTCTCGGAGAATTAAACAAACAAACCAAAAGTAATAATAATAATATTAGACTGAAGGCGACATTCAGACCAGGTCAAAAAAGAAAAAAAGAAACATTTCCTAATCCCAGGAGCCTGCTAAGTGCACAAGTATATTCCCCATACCTCGGAAGTTCCCACAAGGCCAGATGTCACCCCGCAGGTAAAAGGTTCAAGGTAAAGCGGGACAGAGGCCCCACCGTGTGCCACTGGTTATCAGGACACGTGAAGAGCAACTTAAAAGATATAAAATAACAAATGTGGAGTTTTTCTTTGGAACATCCATTGTGGTGTTTCTTTTACACGTTAAACATCTGGATGGACTCCAGTGGCAGTACTAATTTCCTGAACACCTTCAAATAAGCCACTTTTATAATTTGTTCCAAAAAGAACTTGAGGGAGGAACAACAGCAGTAAAATTGCCAATTTCAACACAGGAAAGATCAGCTCTTGTAAAACACAGATTCAGTAGCTGCGAGGGTTTCTTCTCATTTTTCTTTTAATCTTAGGCATTCCTAATTTCACTTCTCTAAGGAAGCAGCAGGACATAAAAGCTTAAAGCACATATTTTTAACAGAATTTGTAAAAATTTCACTTAATGTTATAAAAATGCAGAATCTACATTTTCAATAATTTGCAAACTACAAAAGGAAATACAATCACGTCCCTCAGGGAGTCCCCGAGCTCACTGTGTTTTTCAGTAAACTATCTTTAACCTTTCTTCAGGAATTGTGCATTTTTAAATACTAGAATTTACATTTTCAGTGCGGGTCCAGGAAAATAGAACTAATGACCCTTTCTGACATTAAGGAAATCAAAATTAATCTTTTTAACTTTTATTATGGATTCATTTACACACGTTTTAACTATTAAAAAGTGTTAATCATATGCATTCTGCAAATTTGTAACTACCCTGGATGTCGAGTTTCTATCTCATTCCACAGCTGCGATGCTTTTATTTCTTGTGGCACAGAAATGGTCTCTGAACGAATCCCTGTGATTTCGGCACTTTTTGCAAAATACAACACTTCGACCTGCAAGGAGAGAAAATGCTTTTACTACAACCCAGTCCTCTGCTGACTGTCCACGCTGAGTTTTGTTTTCTGAATGTATCACTTTTTAACAAAGACAAATTTTACAGGTTAGAGAAAATTAAATCGCCCATAGAAATTTCAGTATGTCCGCAAGTTCACATTTTTGGAAAATGCTTGCTTTAAGCACAACGGGCACTAATTTCCTGATTCTCTATTTCTACACACGGCCTTGCTCGCCCACATCTAAAATCCAAACCCCAGCTCCTCAGAAACGGTGAGGTCAGGTGGGTCTCCAGCTGACAAAACTCAGCACCTTTTGCAAACCCTCGGTGAACAGGTGTCTGCGCGAAGAGATGAATGACATAAAATAAACGACCAACGCAGCCAGAAGCCTGTCTGCCGGTGTCCCCTGACCTTTGGATCCAGTCTCCCCGCACTGAACCCGCCGCCGGGGGCTGGGTTATGCAACCGACCCGGCCTGGCTTTTACTCGAAGCGGGCGGGTTGGAAATACCGGCTAAGCGGGTCTTCCCGGCGCACACCTGGCCCGGGGCCGCCAGGTAGGTCCCGGGGCCGCCAGGTGCGCGGCCCACCTGCCGCGGACACGCTCCCCCACTCAGCGGCCCGCGGACGCGGAGGAAGCGCGTCACCCGGTCCCTACGGCTCTTATCTTGGGGTGAGCGCTTGGGAAGGGATGTGGTTGTCTAACCAGGACGCTGTGCACCTGAAACCGATACAAAGTAACACTGAGCGTAAACCACAACCGCAAACAAGCAAAATGAGCTTAGAGGTGAGACCGAGAGAGACAGAGAGACAGAGACAGAGACACAAAGACACACAATGCGCATCTTTTAAATAACGAGCACCCCGGGGACCGGGCAAAGGGCGAGG